CTCCTATTTGTTGCCAGTGTCTGGGGGCCATGCTGGAGGTGCAGTGGTTAACAGAGCAATTATGCGTCCTGCTATTACATTCTAGCCATATGTTTAGTTTCCATCCTCTTGTCTTATTTTACAACTAGAAGCCTGGTGCACAAAATTTGTGCGCGGGCGGGGGGTGTCCCTCAGCCCAGCCTGCACCCTCTCTAATCTGAGACCCCTTGGGGGATGTCCGACTGCCGGTTTAGGCCCGATCCCTAAATCAGCAGTGGGACACCCTCTCACAATCCGGGACTGCTGGCTCCTAACCACTCACCTGCGTGCCTACCTCATTGCCCCTGACCGCTCCCTGGCCGGCCCCATCACCCCCAAATGCCCTCCCCTGCCAGCCTGGTCACCTCTAACTGCCCTCCCCTGCAGTCCTGATCACCCCTAACTGCCCTCCCCTGCAGGCCTGATCACCCCTAACTGCCCTTCCCTGCAGGCCTGATCTCAACCCCAACTGCCCTCCCCTGTCAGCCTGATGGCCCCCAACTTCCCTCCCCTGCTGGCCATCTTGTGACGACCATCTTGTGACGACGCGAGGGCGGCCATCTTGTGATGACATCACACGAGGGCGTGATGCCACCTAGGCTTTTATTATATAGGATATGTATATAGATAGATAGATAGATAGATAGACATATAGATAGATAGATAGATAGATAGATAGATAGATAGATAGATAGATATAGATGTGATGTCCCGGCCTCTGGGGAACGCGGCATCCGTGGTGGCGGGAGCCCGGCAGCACCACGGGGCTGGGCTGTGAGGGACCAGCTGCCTGGCACCACCCTTCCACACCAGAGAGCAGGGCCCTGTGCCCACAGTCCCTGGAAGACCACAGCAGATGCACAGTATCAGGAGACACACTGGACGAAGGGCTGGCACATACAAAGCCTGGTGACAAGAACCAACACCCGCCTGCCCAGGCCCAGCTACATACGGTGCCCGCGTCTCCAGCGCCACCCTGATGGCAGGGAAGCCCCCAGCTCCGCCCCGCAGCTGAGAGCCCAGGCTCACTTCCTCCCGAGGCCGGCCCCGCCTCCGGGCCACAGGAACCACCATCCTTGGACGTGGTGTGAGACGTTCAGCTAATCCTGTTCCCCATCAATGTTCCCAACCCGACAGGGAGGAGGCCCGTGGTCCAGCCCCGTCCACATTCCTCCACGGGGCGGCCGCACCTCGGGCCTGGGCGCCGACCCACATAGCTGGGCGCTCCGCACACCGGG